CACACACACACACACACACACACACCTGTATACATACATATGAATATGCAAAAGAAAATTTAAAATATATATCATATGAATGCCATGATGCTTTTCAGGTTTTTTGACACAGGATCTCACTCTTGCCCAGACTGGCCTTGACCTCACTCTGTAGTAAGCTTAGTCTTGAACTCAATACAAAATCCAGTCGGGCCTCAAATTTATCAACCCTGCTTCAGCCTCCTGTATGCTGAGAGCATAGGCACACAGCACCATGTCTCGTTAGCAGTTTGCAGCATAACTGACCTTTCTTGACTCCCTGTTTTCGGGAGAATTCCACTGCGCTCAGATTATCTTAGATACTGTAGACAGTGATTGTGTACTGTGCACCTCAAAAAAGCGAGAGGAAAGATTTTGAATATTTTTTTGCCACTAAGAAGTGAGAAATGTATATTTTCTCACCCACATACATAATGTAAACACACATTGAAACATTTCCATGCTTCTCCATTCATACATGCACTCTTATGGCCGCATATCAGTTAAAAATTAACTTTTTTGTAATTTTTTTTAATTAGTTCAAATTAGGAACAAGCTTGCTTCGCATGTCAATCCCTTCTCCCTCTCCCTCCCCTCCTCCCCCCAACCCCCCACCTGACCCCCCCACCCCATCCCCGCTCCACTCTCCAGGCTGGGTAGGGCCCTCGATGGGGGCTCCCCAAAGACCACCAAATTATATGTGGCTGGGCCTAGGCCCTTCCCCATGTATCCAGGGCAAGAGTGCATCCCTTCATGTTGGCTGGGCTCTCAAAGTCCCTTCTTACACCAGGGAAAAAAATACTAATCCATTACCAAGGGCCCCCTAGAGTATGGAGGCCTCCTCATTGACATCCATGTTCAGGGATCTGGATCAGTCCTGTGCTGGCCTCCCAGACAGCAGTCTGGGGTCCATGTGCTCCCCCTTGTTCAGGCCAGATGTTTCTATGGGTTTCACCAGCCTGGTACTGACCCCTTCGATCTGCAACTAGGTTCCAGAGTTCAGTTCAGTACATCTGTGGGTGTCTGCCTCTGCTTCCATCAGCCACTGGATGAGGGCTCTCGGTAGGAGTCAGGCCAGTCAAAATTAACTTATTTTTAAAGAATATACTAATAAACAGCGAAAAACATGCACGCATAGTGTACTGTGACTAGCGTGGCTTGGGAAGTGGAAAGAAGTACGTGTGTAATTCTCTTTCTGTCAGCTTATGCATTCGTGGCCATGGGCCCAGCAAACTGAAACAGTGAGCAGACAGGATGTGTTCATTCATTGTTGAAAGCATCCATCGTGCCTTCCCACAAGCTGTCTGCGCATTTACAGTGAAACTGGGAAGAGATGGTTAGTCCAGTGTGAAGGGGCTTAAATTTAGCAATGGAAGGGAATGCTCAGTGAGGTTTAAATGCAGACATGAAGAATTCAGCAAATACGAAAATAGGATCCATGTGGATTGCTGTATCAGAAGTGAGCTAGTCTGGGGACACAGGTGACAGCGCACTGTTGTTACTCATCACTGTGCTGTGCTGGGCTTGGCCTGGGGAACAGACATCACGAAAGGATGGGGGCTCTTCACTAACAAGGGCGAGAGATGGATATGTAAACTTATTAAGACAAAGCCCAAATGGAAGAGATTGATTAAAAGTGAACTGATACTGTGAACCGATACTGGCGAATCCCTAGGGGAAATGAAAACGGGAGGGGGGGTAATTGGGTGTGTCAGGGGTGTCAGAGAAGGTTTTGAGAATGGGTGTCAAACAGATCCTACTGTGAAAACAGCCAAGGCACCAAGAAATGCTGGGACACGAGGAAGTGCCATCCAAGGACACCTTAGGGCGAGTATCTCTGAGAGTCAGGAATTCCTCACTAACTACAAAAAAGGCACACAGTAGGGCAGGCAAAGAAGAGAAAAGGCCACCATGGGAAGACAGGAGGCATTGTGGGTGAAGAGATGCCTACTAAACTGTCTGATAAATATGAGTGAACAGGCAAAGGGGCAGGAGAGGGGGTCAGCGTTTCTCACACGGGAACAGCCTGGTGGATGCAAAAGCTGTCAGCATGCAGTCTCCCCAGGACTGTGGAACTGACTTTTAACCCATCTGATTGGCTGCAGGTCTGACTGCTTCTATAGTGAGCCAGGAAACAGGCAAAGGACAGCAGTAAGGTTGAGCAGAACCTACTAGAGTCTATGTGTGCATTCTTCTCTGGCCTCCAGACGTGGGACACACAGTGTAGTTACATCTAGGGAAAACGGCACCCAGGAAACTAGATGTGGATACATAGTGTGGTCACAGCTAGGGAAAAACGGCACCCCAGGAAACTAGATGCTCGTCAAGGAAGAGTCTGGTTGGATCTGAATTCACAGCAGCACGATTGATATGTTGGTTGTGTTTTGTCTCCTCTGATGCAAACGCCATTGACAATTTATACTTCGTAGTTTCTACCACTGAGACATAATCCTGGGTGTTGCTTGTTGCTGGTGACATTCATCTCATCAATCCAGAATGTTTTAATACAATTTTCGTATTTTATTAAATTTTATTTATTTATTCCATTCCATTATGGCCTGGGCTTGTCATCCCAGTGCTTGGGAGGAGGAAGCAGGATGAACGCTATGAATCCAAGGCCAGCCTGAGCTATACAGTAAGTCCCTGACTGTCCATGAGCCCAGCCATTGAAAAAATAAAAACTAAAATCTAATCTATATCATTCCTAGGTAAACAGCCAAAGGACTGTGAGGCAACGTACCATAGAGACACCTGCACATCCATGCTTACTGTCATACCAGTCATTACAGGTTAGAGTCAGCCACCATGTCTGCTAAACATGAATGGATAAAGAAAATTAGATATATATAGATATATGTCTATATATGTGTATATACACACACAGTAGAGTTGTATACAATAATAAATTTTTAAAATTATGTGTATAGCCATCCTAGTTACATTTTTCTGTTGCCATGATAAAACATGGACCCAAACCAACTTGAAAAAGAATGCGTTTATTTCCGATTACAGGTTGGATACCATCGTCAAGGGCTTCCTGGGCATCCCCGGAGGAACTCAAGGCAAGAACTGAAGCAAAGGTCATGGTGGAATGCTGTCTACTGGATTGGTCCCCTGGCTTGTTCAACCACCTTTCACAGACACTCCAGGACCACCTGCCCAATGGTGGTACCACCCACAGTGGGCTTGCCCCTCTGACAATGCCCTACAGGCTTGTCTACAGACCAATCTGACGGAGGCGTTTCCTTAATGAGGTTCCTTTGCCTATGTGACTCTAGTTTGTGTCAAGTTGACAGAAAACTAAGGAGCACACTACACATTGACCTGCCTGCACACAGGTCACCTTGCTCTCATTTGCACTGGAGCCCCCCGCCGCCCCCGTCTCTCTCTCTCTCTCTCTCTCTCTCTCACACACACACACACACACACACAGGGCCCCGTTTCTCCATCCCTTCTTTCCTCTTCTCTCTGTGTGGAGCATGTTGATGTCTGAAGCAGCTTGTCTCCTAAATGATTCTCCGTGGAAACCCACTAGAGGGTAGACATCTTGAGAGCAGAGATTCTCCCAGCTTCATGCAGCTGACTGATCATGGACTGAGGATTCAGGTTCTTGATCACACACTTAGGTTATTGACTGTCAGCAAATTCTTATCAGAATTGAATTACAGTCTGCCAAAGTTACTTTATAGATCTAGAAGGACGAAATACCACGAGATACTTGTCTTGGTTGTCTTAATTTCAGTGGTCATTGTAGTGCCAGGAGGACATATGGAGCCTTACAGGACTTGGTACTTCCAATGCCTTCTTCACTTACAGCCTCATCTGTCTCCCTAGCCTGGCTGAAGCCCTTCTCCTTCCCTGAGAAGATGTGAAGTCAGCTCAGTCACGCATCCTCCCAGCTCCTGTAGGCAGGCTGCACCGAGACCACCCTGCTTTGTCCTTCAATAGCTTCATTTACTTGAAGAAGGGAAGTGGTTAAAGTCAACCTTTAGGAAAGGAGAATTGCACCAAGTCAAAAGGAATGGTCTTTATTTGTAACAAATACATGCATGCAGAAGATTTATGTAAATCGAACTTCTTCCTGAATTATCAATGCCACATGAATACCCGGACCGATTAGTCCCTGGGCATTTACACAGGTTCATAATATACTAGGGTATAAAAATCAAATGGTTCAGTTGAACTCAGCAAACTCGCCTCCTGCTTTGAGCTCGGCATCAAGAGCTATACATAGTACAGTTTTGATTTCCCAGCAAGGCTTCTGTATGAGTCTACAACAGAAGTAAACTGCTAGCACAGACATGTGGAGACTACCTTACAGTGCCCTCTAGTGAAAGGCACTGGGCAATACACCTTACAGAGAGCTGTGGAGACTGGGTTTGAGTCTGGAAGAGAGTGCATACTCAAAAGACTATAAAGAATCACAAGCATGGAAATTTTCAAAGGAAAGTTCAGTTTCAAAGTTGGGAAATGAGAAAATTTATAATTTAATTGGGGTGGTATTAGGAAAATGCAGGCATGCTCAGTCATGTTCATCCAAAGGTCTATTCATTCCTCATGTTTGCCAATGTTCGATAGGATCCGACTATTAGGTGTTTTGAGCTCGACAGGATGGTGTCTGTTGTTATTGTGATTTGGGAAAGTATTTCTCACGGACACTTGGAAATGTTGAAACAAAAACATTGAGATACAGGCCATACTTGTCTAAATAGGCAAACAATAGAATTTTCTGGGTTATGTGACTAACCCTTCTGGTCTTTTCCACACCAGTGCAGTTTGTGGAGGATTTACAGTAACATGCTCTTTCTGAACAGGAGCTACCCCTGAGCAGGAGCTACCCCTTACTGAACACATGGGAAATGGATACAGAGTTCAGCTCTTGAAGAATTTTATGCCTCCTTTTATTAATAATTCTCTACTGTCACCAAACACGGTGGTCTCTCATGAGTGCCAGTTTTGACACGTTCTTGATGTATGTGTTTCTCGTGGAAAGAAATATCTGCTTTCCACAACGTAAAGAATATTTACACGTTTTCTAGGCACTGCGCTGCAGAGAATGGAAATCGACTTCGTGTCCCATCTGTGTTCCATACTCCTCCAGGCATCTGCCCACATCGCTGTGTTTCATCTTCTCTCTGAATAGTTCATCAAAGACACTCTTCTGCTTCGGAGTGAAGTAGTTTATCCAGTCACCCACCACTCCTGGAAACACGTGAAATCTATCAGGCAAGAATCAACCTAAACCACAGCACTCACAGGGGAGACCTGTCAGCTCTGCAATCACATGGGAGCCGTTGGGGGACGGTTTTTCCCTTGCTTATTTGGTGTTTCTAATTAGCACTGTGCTGGTTGTATGGTAATTTCTACAGTTTATAACTACTTATTTAGAGGAAGATTTAAAATATGTAGACATATTTTTGTTGGACTATGCAAGAACATTACAGTGGCAAAAGCATAGTAAATGAGGCAACGTGGGTGCGGTGTGGCTCTGCGTTCATCACTCTGGGTGCTTGCATAGAAGAAACTGAGTTTTGAATCGTCCTAGAGATGGGTAGCTCACCTTATTTTCAGAAACCTTTTTCTATAAAAGTTTTTCTATAAAACAGTGGAGAATTGGACACATAAATACCAGTTTTCAATATAAGACCATGGTGCTAAGTGTATATGGTCTGCCAGACCCTCCTAATGGGAAAAGTTGTGTTTTTCGACCCCTCACAATTTTCTCGCTCCCATTATTCTCCCCTTGTCAAACTTGGGGCTCAGGCTCCATCCCTGGGGTCTCCATGTCTTGGGGCCGATGGCTCATTATTTTATCTCCACACTTGTTCTCTGTGATCTTTTGATTGCAATCATCTCACAAACCCTTTCAAGACGGGGACTATAATTTACTCTTTGTATGTAACCAAGAGCTAGGCATCTACCATCCTGTGCTAAGAAAACACATGGCTGACATGATTGGATTGCATGCTGGACAATGTTACCCACAGAAAAGAAATGCATTATATTCAAAGGATGGATTCTTTTTTCACGTTCTGTGTATTTATTGAAACACACTGATACTATAGGATTGGTTTTTTAGACAGGGTTATATTATATAGTTCCAGTCGACTTGGAACACACATATTATATGGATCAGGCTGGCCTCAAATCTGCCTTTACAGTGCTGGTATTAAAGATGTGAGCCACCATGCCACCTGCATGAAAAATCAATATCCTGAGATTATATTAAGGTAGTCATCAGGAATCTGAACTCAGAAAACTACGGCGTATGGACTAAAAGTTGATCACCACGTATATTTTGGGTTTTGTTATTGCTGCTGCTGTTCTTTTAAAGGTTTATTTACTTTATTGTGCAAGTGTTGTACATCAGTGCATGTGTGTAGTAGGAGCTAGTCTTCCATGTTTACACCCAACACAAGGAAAACACTCATGGTGGGACTCAGGTGCTGTTAGTTACAGATGGTGAGGTTTCACCTGGGGGTGTTTGCCAGGGTTACAACTATGGCAGGTTAGGGAGGCAGGGGCGGATGACCACCTCAGGAGTGTCGCCCATGTTTATGGGGTGGGGTTTGAGAACAGTGATTGCTTTGTGCACAGGACTCTCAAGGACGGAGTAATAAAATACATGGCTATGAGACCTCAGGGCTGCCTCCTCCTCACTCCCGTATTTACACAGCCTCCTCCCCGCTCTCCTCTTTGCTCTTTTGCCTTGCTTATACACACCCTCCTCTGAGTCTGTCTGTCCCCTCTTCGTCTCCTCTCCAGAATCCCGCCTCTCTCTAACTACCGCGTGGTCCTCTTGCTCTGCATTCTCACAGCTGGAGCAGAGCGGCCTTCACTTCTCTCTCTCTTGTCCACCCTTCCCATCCTCACTCCTGTGGAAACTCTCAGAGCTCACCAACAATTGACAGGTCCCCGTGTATGGCCTCAGCTTTCTGACTAATTCGGGTCCATGTCTTTCTTGGCTCCCGCGGACTGCTTCATTCTCTTGGGTATTGACATCCCCTGAGAGCCATCTTCTGTCATCGGTGCCACTAGCTCTTGGCTTTCTCTCTCAGATGACTCCGCCTCATTGCACAACCTGCCGATGGCTCCCTGACTGACTCCTGTCACTGGCCCAGGGCTGACTCACCACGTGTCTCACCTAACAGTTTATCAGTGTCTTATTCAGTTCTTCTGCCCCACTGCCAATTCTTGTAATAGTGTTTGTTTACACCCGCCTCTGCCATCTTGTGATGGTGTTTACACCTGCCTCTGCCATCTTGTGATGGTGTTTACACCTGCCTCTGCCATCTTGTGATGGTGTTCTGCCTGTCTTTGGGTGTGTGTTTTCCCCCCCCCCTCTGCCATCTTGTGGTGGTTTTTCCCCCCGCCTCTGCCACTGTTTAACACATTGGCCTGCTTGTGTCATGTCCCTTCTTCAACCAGAAAAAAAGAGTTTGGGGAGAAGAAAGAAGGAGATTGAGAGAAGAGGGGAGAGGAGGGGAGAGGGGAGGGGAGGGAAAAGAAGAGTGGAGAGGAGGGGAGGGGAGGGGTAGGAGGAGGGGAGGGGAGGGAAAAGAAGAGTGGAGAGGAGGGGAGGGGAGGGGTAGGAGGAGGGGAGGGGAGGGAAAAGAAGAGTGGAGAGGAGGGGAGAGGGGAGGGGAGGGGAGGGCAGGGCTTCTGTGAAGTTTAAGCTCTCTGGCGTCACCATCCTCTCATCTCCGGAACTCTGCTTCACGCATGTCCCACTGAGGCACAGCGGCCCTCGTCTTCTAGGATGGGCTCTGTGACCGCTGTGCCTCTGACCCCTCTCTACCGCTGGCTCTCCCTGGAAAGCATTCCTCGCCTGTCACTTTCATAACCACTTCTCAAACTTCCAGTCCCAGACCTAGTGGTAGCTCCCCTCCTTTACTGGACATTCATGACTCTGCCCTACACCCTCTGCCCACAGTGGTGGCGGAACATTCCTTTACACTGTGTGAAGATGTGTCACCCTGGCTGGTTTACGAAAGGGCTGAGTGGCCATTAGCTAGGCAGGCAGAGGTTAGGCAGCACTTCTGGGGACAGAGAGGACTCGGAGAGGAAGAAAGGCGGAGTGTCCAGCCACATGCGGAGGAAGCAGGGTGGGTAGTACAGAGTAAAGGTAACCAAGCCGTGTAAAAGTTTGTAGATGAATAGAAATTGGTTAATTTAAGTTGTAAGAACTAGTCATGAGCAAGTCTAAACTATAGGCTGAGATTTCATAACTAATAAAAGTCTCCATGGGGTTCCTCGGGAGCTTGACTCTCTACACAGCCCTAGTCACAGTTGCTCATGCTATTACCATAGTGCATTGAACTTTTGGAAAAGAGATGCTGTACTAATATTTGTGCATTAATTCCAGAATTAATAGCTTGTTAATATTTACTTGAGTCGAATGCTTGGCTCCTTTCTAAGCCTTGGTTTTGTGACTCTGCATAATAAGACTGAACTACAACAATAGAAAATTTGCAAAGTTAAGCGAATATCTGTTTTACACGTGAGTTGGCAAATATTTGCTGTGTGTGTGTCGGGGGGGGGGGTTATATTTAGTTTATCTTTCTAAGCCTTGGTTTTGTGACTCTGCATAATAAGACTGAACTACAACAATAGAAAATTTGCAAAGTTAAGCGAATATCTGTTTTACACGTGAGTTGGCAAATATTTGCTGTGTGTGTGTCGGGGGGGGGGATTATATTTAGTTGGGCCAAAGAAGGGAAATAAACATTGGCTTTCTAGTAAGAATCATGCATGTATGCATACATACATACAAAACATTTTGCCTTTATAAGTTGTAAAACATTTCTCCTATATATGGATAAAACTTACATATTTCAAAAGTTTTAGGGGCCATAGAGATTGCTCAGAGGTGAAGAGCACTGGCTACTCTCACAAAGGACCTGGATTCAGTTCTCAGTGTCTACAACCAACTGTTTAACTCTACTCTTAGGGGATCCAGTGCCCCCTTCTGGCCTCCTTGGGCACTGAGTCCACATTGTATAGATCCACATGCAGACAGAATACTCTTACACATAAATCTTTAAAAAATCCTACATCCAGATATTCCATACTTGCTTTTACCTTGAAGGATTGCTGGGGCGAACTTAATTCCGTTTCTTGTATTCCTATGCACATAAGCAATGTAAGGTCCGTTAGGAAGAAATGGAGAATACAAAGGCCAAAGAGAGCTTGAAGTACAACCAGCATCATCCTTCTGGGCACCAAGATTGGTTCCAGGATGCTGTGGAATAATCCTTCTGTACACTGTGAAGATGTGTTGCTCTCATTGTTAGGAAAAAGCTGATTGACAGATAGCTGGGCAGGATTTGGGGCCAGAATGAATGCTGGGAAGAAGGGCAGAGTCAGAGGAGCCACCAGGCAGATGCAGGGGAAGCAGGAGATGAGCATGCTGTACCAAGAAAAGGCACCCCCACGTGGCAGAGGATAAATTAAAAAAAAACCGGATTAATCTAAAAGGTAAGAGTTAGCTAGTAACAAGCCTGAGCTATCAGCTGAGCATTTATAATTAATAAATAGTCTCTGGGCAGTTAATTAGGAGCCAGCTGCAATGGAACAGAGAAATTCCACCTACACCAGAATTCTCTGTCACCAACATTCTGAGATGCACATTGCTTATATAAAGTATCATTTAACCTCTGCTTATGTAAAACCTGCATATAAACTACGAAATTCTCCCTTTCCCATTAATCATTTCTACTTTACTTATTACGATCCCAACGCCACGGTCGTAGTGGTTACTTGCTACTGTTTAGGAAACCATGCTAACAAAAGTCTGCACATACTCAGTATGGTGACAATTACTTTCTTTCAAATATTTTCAGTCTTCATGGCTGACTTCCAGGTGAGGAAAGAATCTACAGAAACCGAGAGCCAAATGCACTGCCCAGTGCAAGCCCCGATGCAGCCGTCTCCTCTCCACTTACCTTTTCTGAACACCAGGTTCCTGTCGGACGTGAGGGCACAGACGGTGTGATTGGGATCACAATTTTCTTTAACTGCGTTACTTTTCATTTCACTGAACGATGTATTCTGAGCGATCTTACTCATCTCAGTGTCATCCACACTGATGCCAAGGAAAGCAGTCATCTTCTTTATGGTCTTAACTAAATCCTGAGCAGTAAGAAAATTCAGGAAAGTAAGTATGCCTCTCATCTGAATATGGAATTCACTCCTTCAAATTTGAAAGCCAATTCATCAATCATTTGTTTGTTTGTATTCAGCAGGATTTCACGATGTGTAGATCGGGCTGGCCTCAAACTCACAGAGATCTGCCTGCCTCTGTCTCCAAGAGCTAGGATTAAAGCTACCACACTTCAGTTTTCATCCCCTGACTTTTAGCTTAATTTGCTTTCAGCAGAGGCTGGTGGAGAAGACTTACTTCCTTCATTTCTTCATAGAATAGGAACAGGACGTTTTTATCATTTTTGTGCTTTTCCCAGCTCAAAACATGGTCAAACCAGGAACCGTACACAACTGGAAGAGAAAAGAGAAGGGCATTATGGTGTCACTGCTCACAGTGAAGGCTCTGCCCCACATCCTGCTTCTTCCTACCTCAGCAAAGTGGTCAACCAGAGCAGTGCCCCTCACCCTGGAGTGAGACCGGCCAGCAGAGCCCATCTCACTCATTCCTCACAGGTGCCTGTTGTGAGGAGGTGCCGCTGGCCACACCTTTTCACCATACTCTCAGCATTTCATTTTCTTATTTCTAGTAAATATTTTTTTATCACCATGAAAAGTAGCAGTGAAGTCAAACCATATGTTTTTATCAATATTTATATTCTGGACTTTTTAAGCTTCTCTAAGGAAACATTAAGGATCAGTCATTTTCTTTATTTAAAGTGACATTCATAATTCCAGGTTTTATCACAAGGGTTTTTAAAACTTTTTCCTTGAGTCACGCTCTCACTGTAGCCAGGGGTAGTTCTGAGACTCACAGTAATCCTTCCTCCTCAGACTCTTAAGTGCCGAGATTACAAGCTATCACACCCAGTTTTTAAACTTCCTCTTCTTCTTCTTCTTCTTCTTCTTCTTCTTCTTCTTCTTCTTCTTCTTCTTCTTCTTCTTCTTCTTCTTTTTCTTTTAAAAGGCTCTTACACTGTTTAAATTGTCTAAAATTTTAAACTAAATTAAAAACATAATAAATTTTAAAAATACTCTATTCAACTTAGTTTAAGACTAAACAGTTCAGCTTTAGGAATTTATCTGCAACTGCTATTATCTCTTTATTTTGTTGTCAAATGGCAGCCTTGAAAAATTCTCAAGGCTCAAAAGTAAAATACTGTTGGGTGTAACCTTTTTAGCAGTGATGATTAGGACGGAAAGCATGCCCTTATCTCAGGACATCAGCTCATTGGAACCATGATACACAAAGCAGAGTAAGTTTAAAAGCCCCCTTCCAGATGTCATTACCACCCCAAACTCCAACTCTGGCTGGCCCCCTCAGAGTCAAAGGTGCTGGGGTGTCACTCTCTACTCAGCAAGCCATCGGGTCACTCTACTCTGCAAGCATGAGTGAAGAACCCTTGGTGCCAGCTAGTCACTGCATGTGATGTTTTCAACATGAAAGCTTGCAATTAATTATATATAATATAACTGCAATATAATTAACTCAAAAACTAACTGCAATTTTTGGTGATTTCAGTTCCCGAGGAAACAAATAATAATCCTGCACACACGTTTCTCTTTATTAATTCACTCATCATCACAATCATGAGTTTCATCGTGACATTTTCATACATGCACAGTGTTATTATTTGGTGTACACACACACACACACACACACACACACTGAAATCTAGATTCCACATGTGAGAGAAAACACATGGTGTTTGTCCTTCTGAGTCTGACTTATTTTGTTATGTATTTTTAGACCAGGAAGTTCTGGGACTCTTATGTTGTTATTATGGAGTTGACCTTCTACCTCAGACACTATGTGGGTGATAGTAAACTCCTCAAAGAGTTGCCTTGCTTTTCCTTATCAGTGTGTCAGGCCTTTTTAGAGTCTTATCCAATAGTTTATCTCAGAATTGCCCAAATGACCACAGTAGCAGTAGATGGTTGCTTTTCTAAGAATGGCTGCACCTTTCCTAGACTCAACTACCTATGGAAGGAAGACTGATTTTTCTCTCATACAGCCTTAAGGAACAAAGGATAATCTTACACCAGCAGGGTCTCAGCCTAAAGTCAACCTGCACCAGCTACCTCCTACCCACAGCCTAGGCCAGGGTCTCAGCCTAAAGTCAACCTGCACCGGCTACCTCCTACCCACAGCCTAGGCCCCGTATCATGTCACTGGCACAGCTGTGGATGCTACAGAGGCCTTGGGACTGTCAGAGAAGTCTGCATCCTGCCGCCAGGGATCACAGAAGACTCAGAGTCATGGCCTCTGGTTAAATGTAATCAACCTGGTCCATTAGGGCTCTTTCAGGAAGAAATGAATTGCAAAACGAATTTGAGAATGAATTTTAGAGCTGTATGAAAGGCAGCTGTTCTATTCATCGCAGATGAATTTATATTCCACCCTTCTCCAAATGGACGGAGGCCAGCTGAAAGGAAGAATGTGGATGCTGCCAGTGCCTTCCTGGCTAGCACACGGAAGTATATCACAACTGTATGCAGAGAGTCCTCAAACTGCTATGAATTCTCAAGTGACAAACTGAGTTAACTTTTAAATCGCAAGCCTCATTTTCCAAGTTGCTGATAGAGCTTCATTGTAAAGAAAATTTAGCTTCTAAAGTCAAGACAAATCCTCCTTTGGGGGAACTGCTTTCTGCACCCACCTCGTGTTTACAATCACTAGGCAGGGTTTTTTGAGACGTTATATCCTTTGAGTAGCCCACATTTCCCTCCCGATCTCAGTCTTCCATCAACCTGGTCTGTCAGCGGATGTCACTGAGGACACTGACCGTCTGTCACAACCATCTGCGTCACCCCTGTCTTGCCAGCAGCTGTAATGGCTTTACCTGACAGCTCCCACAGTTCTCTACCCGTCCTTTCTGCCTTTGATTTCTTCTCCTCATTGGCTCACTCAACTGTCTCCTTGGCAATGTTCCCCTGCTACCTTAATGCTTATTTCAGTAGACTAAAGAAGAAGAAAGAGCCACACAGCATTGAAGCAAACCACTTCATCTTCTTCTCTCTCTCCAGTTGCTGCAAGAGGACTTTATGCCACTCGGTATTTAGACTCGGGACATGGGCTTCCAACCTGTGGCTCCAAGGCTTCCCACCCACCTACATGCATTACCTTACTGCTCTATTCTCTGCACCAGCTGTTTCTGCCTTCTGCCCAGCACCAATTATAATGCATGTCTTAGGTTCTAGTTTCTACAAATCACTCTGAAAATACAGCATTGTACTATAAAGCAATACTTTCTGCAATGGAGGACCCTGAAAACACACAACCCTAACCCAGGGTTTGAGAGGGAGCGAGAGGTAGAAAAACCATGCTCAACATTAAGGTATTAGTTTGATTGAGCTATTAATGTGACCTGATATCACCAGAGCATACTACAGTTATTGTTTAACTCGACAAGCTACTACCCAGAAGGCAAATTAGATGATTCCATAAATGTCTATCTGCATCACTCTACTCTATTGTTTTTTTTTTTTTTTTATGTAACTAGGAGCTGAGTATACACGTGAAGACCAGCCCAGGATATTATAGCACCTTCCTTATGAAATAACATCCTTGGATACACATCTGCCTGGTGTGAAACTACTTGAAAGTCTCCTGTGTCTAGTAGACTAGCTGAGTGGACTTCGGCCGTGGATTGCAGCCGTTAACTAACTTGAAACTCTGCAAAGTCCTGTAAGGTGCGCCATTTTGTCAGTCTTGTTTTGGAAGTGAAGGATAGATATCTAAGAAGCTTTGGAACTTGTCCAAAGCCACACAAAAGAAGTGCAGACAAGACCAGGATGCCATGTCTCCCACTTCAGTCACTCATTCTTTCTTCTATCCCATGTACAGCAAAGCAGGTGGCGCTCTTCAGAGCCCTTCAAACACCCCTTACAGGTCACGGGTGTAACACCTAGGTGTGTCCCCTCCGGGTGCTGGGTCATGATAAGGACTTGAGCAGGTTGGGACACAGGACGCAGAGAGGAGAGGGAGCTATGATGTGCAAGATGGGAACAAAAAAAAAAAATACCATTTCCTGTCTTGAGAAAAAGCAGACTCGGGGTCTGTCCTGGAAAAGGAATTGTGTGTTTAGACTCCGCTTCTTCCAAAGATGGACTGGAGGCAGAGAGAGGCTAACTAACCATCCTTAAATATTTAAAGGATGATCACAATCAGGTGGGTTTTTAGGCTGTACACACCATGGCACCAGGGTAGGGAGAAAGATTTTGGAATAAACATTAAATCGTGGCTCTTGTCTCTGTATGTGAGTTCTTTAGCCTGCCGGGTCTGTCACTCCTGGGAGTTGTAAAATGATGATAATAGCGTCTACCACACCAGGTTCTGGTTAGGGTGAAATGAGACAATATTTGCCTAGCACTTAGCTAGGCATCTCTGTCACATGGGAAGAACCCAGTGAATGATAAGAGTTAAAAGGTGTGTGACTTCGTGGGGTTTATGAGCCTGGGGCCAGCATTAGGATGTCATAGCCTTCATTGTTCTTGGGAGGTTGTGGGGGTGACACAAAGATGAGGTGCCTGTTTGAATCATGTAAAGTACCTGTCTGCTAAATGTGTGCCATTCATTGAGGAGAAAACTATATCTGAAGAACGAGTTGAAATGGCATGTGTCTAGTATAGTCCTCTGTGCCTTCAGCAGGGGTCACAGGCAGATCTCAGGGTAAGGCTACAGGGCCTGTGGCCTCGCTGAAACCAACTAGTAAAAGATGAATGATCTGCCAGCAAACTTGTCAGATCAAAGACCTACGGTGTTCACTTAGTGCTGGCAGTATTGCACAGGTAGGGCCCAGTGGGTTAAAAGAAGAGTAAATAAGATTGGGAAGGGAAGGTGGGGAGAGATAATGGGAAGAAAAGGGGGAGAAACGGGGCCTGGATTTGACCTAACCACATTGTTTACAGGTATGAAAATCTCAAACACTAATTTTATTAAAAACTCAAGAAAGTAATATGTAAATAAATTCCTTAACCTAGGTTAAGTAACCCAGGATGGGGTGGGGGTGGGGAATTAGCAGAAAGGCAGATATTCCAGATTTTTAGACTGCCAATTCTCTGCCCTTTATTCTTTAAGTAAAAGTTGCTCATTAAGTGTATAACTAGAAAAGGCTTGCAGGAACCCCCACCCCCCCACCCCCCCGCAAAGAGATTGAGTCCTCCAAGCCTTCATCATTTTAAACTCATGTCTCCTAATATCTTGATGTACTATATTTAATGTTTAAGTATTAAGACTTTTTAAGGTGCCCCCACACCACTGAGTCGGGTGGGGGGATGAACTAAATGATGGCACAGGGTGGCAGAACCAATGTGCCCTGGGAGGCTTTGTCAATTCATGAAATCAATTTGCTCAGGATCTGTGTACTCATTTCCCAGGGAGCGTGTGTGTGCACACATGTATTTCCTTTGTTCATGATAGTTTCCAGGGTTCCTAACTCCCCGCTACTCAGTGCACAACTACTTCACAGGAAAAAACTAGTGGTACATGAAAAAAATAAATTCTTATAAAGAATTAATCTCTACTTTGAAGATATTATAACTCACTTGTAAACATGCTCATCCCCAGAGGTATAAAAATGACTGTGAAGTAATTAAGAATTTGCTTAGAAGAAACAAGGATGCTCTCTTCAGTGCACATGCAGAAGCCTCCACTCACGACCCACCAAAGGTCTGGAGCTCGATTTCATTTTGAGTGAGAAAGATCAGTGTATATAATGATTTTTTAAAGATGATTGTCAGAGTTGGGAGATGGCTCAGTAGATACAAACACTTGCAGCACAAATCCAGGATCTGAGTTCAAATCCCAGCATCCAAGTTACAAGAGAGCTGAGTGTGCGCAAGTGCAAGTCTGTGATGTCAGCACAGCTGGGGTGGACACTGGAGGATGTCTATAATCCCTACCAGACAGCCCAGCTCCGAGTTCAGTGACAGACCCTGCCTCAAGGGGAAAAGGTAGGGATTGAGTAGCCAGACACCTCGCATTCTCCTCAGAACTCTGCAAACCAGTGTGCATGCGTACACACTCACAAGTATTCTGGAATTCTCATAGGCATGTGCACACACACGCAAACACACACGCGCGCACACACACACACGCACACACACACACACACACACACACACACACACACACGCATGCATGAACACACACAAGTAAATAAACACAATTTTTTTAAATGATGTTTAAAAAATGTTGTAGCTACCTTCTCCTTTGAGGAACAGCTCTAAAAACGAAGGCCACGTGTCAGGGGATGGGAGGTTGGGGTTGTCTCTGTAGTAGTGGAACAGAGACACGGCTGTATCCTTCGGATCCCTGACGATGTACACAATCTGTTGAAACACGCAAACAATGTGTTCTAGGATGAAAATAACCACAACACAACGTGTTTCTCAAAAGAAAGTTGGAGCTAAAACTCACCTATACAAATTCTACCTTCTTATTTTTTTAATAGCCGTAGCTGATGACAAGACTATTAGGTTTCTGTCTCTGGGTCTAGTGTGCACAATAAGAATCACCCATGATGAATGTGACAAGCAGACTTTGATCCCAGAGGTCGCAGAGGTGGCTGGGCTTTCTGGGTCTCTAACCAGCCCCCAGCAGACAATGCTGCTCACAGCCCAGTGGACAGCTTTCTGAATCAGTTTGCTAAGTGTGGTCCTGTTTGCTAGGGCCAGGCATGGGAAAGTCCGTATTGATTGCCAGGCAAAACTACTTTTTGCTCATCTATATGTTAGAAAACATTTGCATGCAGCAAGACTTTTCACGAACTCTATTTTTTTTAAATAGGAATAACTATTGTTTTTGACAATTTACTTCCTTGCACAGCAGAGCATCTGAGATTCACTTCCAGTGTCTAGGAAAACAGCAACCACAATTCACTGAAGCAACGTGTGTTCCGCGTGTGCTGTGGACCAGGTGATAAGCAGTGACCCAGTCCCAAGGAACGCAACAACGAGCAAGCTGGAAATGATTCGAGCTCTCTCTCAGGCTGAGGGAAGAGACAATTAAATGTGCTCTTGACAATGGAGCATGGTAGGAGTTCTAAGACAGTACTACAAAGGAACAGGGGAGAAGCTCCCACTGAAAGCAACGGAAGCTGGATAATGGAGCACTTCTGATTGCAGTCAACATCATACAAGTTAAGAACGAGATGTTCTTGTGTTTTTCATTGGCAACTGGGACAGACACAATTTACCTAGATAAGACAGAATTTGTTGAGTCACTTTTAATACATTGTTATCTTTTAGTAGCGTGTTCATAGTCCAGATGTTGTATGGGCCACATGGATAGTGCCTGGCTCCTCATAAATGGAGAGATGTGTAAAGGTCAATGTGTTCAGGAATGAAGAGCCACGTTTACCCAGCCACACCCACAATCCTCTCTAGCAAAAATGACACCGAGCAATCTGATAGGCCTTGGGCCTCCTCTTACTGTGCCAGGTTTCCAGAGCAGAACCACAGAACTCCAAGGCTTGGTGAACTCACTTCTAAAACTCCATTGCATGGACAAGATGGGATAAAGTAGCAAAGATTTAAGCCTGTACTGATCAATAGAAGTAGTCGTTTGGGCAGAGTATCGAGCTTCTGGAGAAGCCACTCCAGTGTTAAAGGTATGTCTGTGTCATCTACCCAGGAACGTAATGAAATCCACTATTGTAGACATCAGAGTCAGCCAAGAAACCTGGAGAATCACTGGAGGAAGTTAGGGACTATAAAGGAAAGGCAGTGTAGTACTCTGGGAGAGGCAAGCAAGGGGACAGTAACTAAAGTGTCATGATGGGCTGGAGAGATACCTTAGTGATTAAGAGCCCTTGCCTGTTCTTCCCGATGACCCGGGTTCAGCTCCCAGCACCCATACTGTGCAGCTCACAACCACCTGTCATCCCAGATCCAGAGGGATCAATGTCATAGGCGTCCATGGACCCCTGTACTCACACGAGTGTGTGTGTACACACACACACACACACACACACACACACACACACACACACACACACACACACTAAAAATAAAATCATTATTAAGCAATATAAATGAGTTACACAATATAAATTCCATGCCAGGGATTTACCTAGCACAAAGGGAAGGGGGAAAACCAGATCAAGAAGAAAAGAATACAGCTGTCTGTACCTCCCCAACGCCCCCTTCTGCCCTCCTACCACACACACCAGCTTCACAAGTGGTGCACAGACATGCATGCAAGCAAAACACCGATACACATAAAATAAAATAAAAACAACAGAAATGGAGTGAAAGTGAAATGTTTCAGGGGACATTTAGGGGGAAGAGCCGGCCCCGCTTGGGCTGGGGAAGCTTGGCTGACTCTCGGGCCTTCGGGACTAATCTACAAGCCCATTCAGGAGGCCCATATTCCAGTTATATGCAGCATTACCTCTGCTGATAGGAACAAGATGTTCACCTTGTGCGTCAGTGGACAGCCAGGGGACATGCGCTGACTTCGATAAGAGAGTATTTGCTGAGTCACTTTATTATTCTATCTTCTGGAGAGCAGACCTGAGGGAAGAAGCTTGGTTCGCATGAGGGCCTTTAGGAAGGGCTGTGCCTTAAGGCTGAACCATCACTGTGGAGGTTAAGAAGCACCTGTCTGAGCTTTGGGCTCTTAAGTGGCCTGTGACCCACATGTGTCATGTGTGTGACAGACACACAACCTCCTGGCTGGTGGTGATTGCTTTAAGAATGACATTAGTTGCTGGATTTAATTCTTCCTCTGTCCCTCCCCCTGCCCCCCCCCCCCGTGTGTGTGTGTGTGTGTGTGTGTGTGTGTGTGTGTGTATCTCGCCCCTCCCTCTCCTCATCCCCCTCCTTCCTCCCCTGTTTCCCATGTCTCCCCCCTCCCTCTCTGGGTTTTGCATTTAATCCAGGCATGGAAGAGGAGAGCATCTGACTGCCTTTCTCTCTTTGCATCCCTCCCCCTCTCTCTGTCTCAGGAACGGCCTGTTAGAAAGGAAAACGGTTCATTGAGTTTCAAAAATGTAATTGAGTTAAGCTTCCCTATCCTGACAGACAGACAGAGGGCAAAGCCCTTCGGCTCTGCTCCTGCTGGTTGTTTACCTTTGTTTGTGTAGGAGTGGGGCACACAGGGCGGTGGTCACAGAATGACAGTCATAGGAGACTCTTCCCTGTGCCTTCATGTGCCACAGGAGCCTTGTTTTTGTTTGTGTGGTTAGAAAATGGCTGGCATGGTTGGAGGAGGCTTCGTGTCTCGTCTCTGATTTCCAGACATTATTATTCTTGCAGTTTATTTCTTATCTAACTGTTCCTTATGCAGAAATTTGTTAAAAGATTAAACTGAATGCTAATGCTGAATGCTGTACACTAGAAATTCACTTTATTTGTTGAGCTATTTGCATCTAGTGTTTTTTTTTTTCCTGTGTAGATATGTTTTAACCAAACTGAAAATATTTGTTATATGTGACCTATGAGCATGGTGTCTTCATCCCTTTATCATACAAAAAAAAAAATCCCCCCATGAAAATATAAATGGGAAAAAGAAAATCATGGAGATGGAAAATGATCTTTTAAATTATAGTTGGCTTTAAAAATAATAACCTATGAATTAATAATAATGTCTTGAGAAAATAATCCTTTAGCATTTATTATTATAATAATTTTTCCTAGAAAAAATAAAATAAATATAAGTGGGACTTGCTTTGAGGCCATCAAGCCCCATGACATGGCAAGAATCCAAGAACCTGGAGCTGGAGGGATTGCTCAGTGGTTAGAGCCCTGGCTGCTCTTACAGAGAATCTGGGCTCAGTTCCTAGCACCTGCATGGTGGCTCACAACTGTCTGTGACTCCAGTTCTAGGAGATCCGATGCTCTCTTTGGGACTCCAAAGCCACTGCATGTAGACACACACACACACACACACACACACACACACACACACCTGAAGGCACTCACACACACACACACCTGAAGGCACTCACACACACACACACCTGCACACACACACACACACACACACCTGAAGGCACTCACACACACACACACCTGAAGGCACTCACACATACACATAAAATAAAAAGAAAAGGAATCTTTAGAGGGAAGAAATAGTTCATCATTCCCAAGGCCGCACACTGAGTTCAGGGCTTACCTTACATTTCTTCTGTTTCACAGACACAGGAGTCATTTCATAGCTCAGGTGTGTGGGGATAACCCTTCGCTTAGCCACTGTTTTCAGCTCCTCTAACTTAGAAATGTCTCCCCATTCAATAGGGTATGTGAGAGTGATTCCAGCACCGGGGATGTTCTCAATGACTTCCGCCACCCAGTGGGTTCCTTCGCACAAACAGAAGATGAAATGCAGCTTTAATGAAATGGCACAGCTGAGGAAAGTGTAGAGCATGAGCACATTGTGAGAGCCAGGCAAACGTGACTGTAATCAGCGGTCGTGACTATGACGCCCCTGCAGCCTGATGAGACGCTAACTTGTTTTGAGTAGAATCCTGTTACAAGAGTGAAAGGGGTGCTTGCTGATTCCTTGGTATAAAATAATTTATTACTCATTTCTAGAACCTTCAAATCACCAACTCACATACATGATTTTTAGTGTAATTCCCAGAGTCCCATGAAGCCAAGAGCCTTCTCCTTTATATTATAGACTAACTTCCGCCTTCCCAACAATCCCCCACAGACACAAGTCTCCCTTTTCTATCTCCCCACGTGTTCACCTCCCCATTTACCCCTTCAAGACAGACACAGAGCTCTCTGTGTGCATACAATAGTAGTTATGCAAACCAAGTATGAAATCATAAATGTCTGTTACACTCAGAGAGCTAAAAGGCTGCCACCCTAGAATCTGGAAAGAACAACATGGGCTGTGTTTTGGTTTTGGTTTTTTTGAGGGGATGGTGATGGCATTGTTTTAAACTGTATTTGTTATTATTGTAATTTCTAATGATGTAGGGGAGCGAATGTCACAGAATGCACACGAAGGTCTGAAGACAACTTCTTAGAGTTGGTTCTGTCTTCCTCCTTTATCTGTGTTCTCTGGATCAAATTCAGACTGCCAGGTTTGTACAAGGGTTTTACCCATAGAGCAGTCTCGTTGGTCCAATGTTTGTGTGTTTGTTTCTGATGCAGGGGGTTGAGCTCAGTACCTCATTGGGGCTACGAAAGTGCTCTTCCACGGGACTTCCCACACCCATGTGCCCAGCCAAGAAAACAACTCGACACTTCAGTGAAGCAAATGATGCCATGTTTCAATTTTGCAGCAGAAAAATGAAAGCTAGCAGGAGGGAGTGGTGAAGACTGCTTCCCTAAGGACACTAAACTGGGCTAATGCTAGTGTCCACTATTTCATTGTGCTTTCTGTGAGGTGCAATAGCCACAGCTTTACAGCTGAGTAAATATTCAGAGTCTAAATAGCATTCTGATTTGCTTTACAGGTTTTATGTTAAGTGTACTTTACAAAGGTTTTGTTTTTTGTTTTTTGTTTGCTTCTTTTGTTTTTTAGATTTATTTATTTTACAAGTGTGAGTGCTTTACCTGCAGGTATGCATGTGTATCTGGTGTCTGCACGGGCAGAAGAGGCCATCAGAATCCCCGAACTGGAGTTAAGAGGGGTGTGTGTGTGTGTGTGTGTGTGTGTGTGTGTGTGTGTGTGTGTGTGTGTTTTCAAAAAAACCTCTGATCCATGTGCACTTTGATTTTTCCCACAGTGATGACCTCTTGGTTTAACTAATGAGTACAGTGCACAACTCAAAGGCTGTGTGGCGGCTAGCTGTTGAACTGGTTACCCTGTAGCCACCATCTCCATGTGACCATTATTCTGGAAATAGTAGCAGGCAACTGGACATCACATAACAAAACAAAGTTAGCATAGAACCGATTCCTTATAGTAGCTAGTGCCCATGTGTGTACAACTATGTAGGGAGCGATTCTGAAGTAAAATTTTTAGTAAGGAAAGCACTGCTCTTCTAGAGCAGATTAAAAAGGCTATGGACCACTGAGTGTAAACTGAACAAAGGCTGTTTAGTCATCACAACGACTGGCCAAAGACACGATGGGAATTTGTATAAGCTATTTTTCGTATTACATAAGATATATCAACACTTACGTATCTTCATAAATTGAATGAAAAGGGAAGCTCTGCAGAGCTTCAATGATTTTAGCTGAATTTTTTAAATTAAAAAAATTTAAATTCCTAAACAACATGTCCCCCCACTTTGGAATAAAACTTCTGATAAATAAAGATGCTATAGAAACAATTGTTCTATTTGTTTTACTGCACTTTTGCATCTTACAGTAAGTACACTTTAGAAAAAACTCACCAGATTTTGGGTAGGAAACGAGAAATATGTCATCTTCTCTTGCATCAAAAGAATCCAAGGAATCGAGGAGTTCTTTGGAAGACATGGCGGAGAAGAGGGTGCCCTTGTGCCTGTGGAGGAGGCTTGCCTGACTCAGGGATGACATCTTCTCCTAATCTATTAGAAGCTGCGTAGTCAAGCCACAGGCAATCCTGGCCTTCGGTCACAACCCCAGCAGAAGGGCAGAGTATCTTGGTATCTCTAAGCTGACATTCCTTGTGTCTATATATACCTTTTGCAATTCTTCACAAGAATAATTTTTAAACCGTAAGTGAGCCAATGCCTATTATAAAAATGGTGTTATCTCTGAATTTTTCTGATAACACGGGTTACAAAATATTTCCTTCCACCCAGTTCAGGTTCATTTTCATAAAACACTATCACCATGTTAAGATAGTATCACAAATTAAATCCTTTGGCCTCAATAGGTAAAGCCTTTTCGCCACTATAATGAATTATATCACTGAAGAAATACTTAGGAAAATTGGATTTCTGCTTATTAACACGGTATAGGAAGCAGCCAGTGTTTACAGTTTGTGGGGAAAGGGGACAGAGACATAGGAAATCAAAATATTTCCAGGAATTGGCAGATACTCTTGCCACAAATCTTTATGAGCTACAGTTTAGAAGAGATATAGTGTCAGAATGCCCACAGTAAGAAGAGATCCCTGGAGGATATTTGCAAACAGGAGGCCGTAGAGAGAAGGAAGTTAATTCTTGTTGCAGTCACTTTTAGTCTTTGTCAATAATATTCCAGAATCCCAGATTCAATTAGAGATAGTAATGAAATGCCCAAATATTTCAGTGAACCACAGTTGAAAATTTGGCTTGTCTAGCAATCGAAGGAACACTATACATTAATGAAGAAATGAAGAAACTTTTAACTGAGCATCAAAAACAGAGATAAACTGTGGGGGAAATATTTGAAGAAGAGATGCCTGTGGCAGTAACAGAGATGAAAGATCACGCATGCAGGCAATAACAAAGACTTTACTAATAGGATAAACATGCGAGCTGAGAGAAGCTGCTGGGTCGTGAGGTCAGCACACGAAATGAACCAGACACCTATGTTCTAAGAGAAAGCAGAGCCCCACGGTGGGGCTCGAACTCAGTTGGTGCCATTGCCTAGAGTGAGTGAAGCCCTGCGATGGATGCTTAGCAACAAATAAACAATGTAGGGTGGTGTGGGCCTATAGTCCCCACACCCAGCAGGTATGGGCTGGAGGACTGGAAATTCAAGGTCCTTTTAAAAAATAAAATTGTTATTAGGATTAATTTTTAATAGTTAATTTTTGCCTCCCCCCTCCATTGGCTCTCTTTTAAAATATTTACTTTAACCTAACAAAAACATAATTACATCATTTCTCCTCCCCCTCCTACCCCTCTCAACTCTCCATCCCTAATTCACACCCTCCTCTCCTTTGTTGTTATATACACATATAAAGAAATAGCTCTATAAAAACAACCTGCTGAGACCACCCAGTGCTGCCTGCCTGTGTATGTCACTAGGGATAACCACTTGGTATTTAGGCAGCCATGCTGTTGAGATTCCAAGGGTAGAGTTTCCCTGTCATGGCTAGAAGGAACAATCTCACAGCAGACTTGTAGTCTACTGGACCTTACAATCTCCTGCACTCTCTTTCTTGATGGTCCCTGAACCATGGGTGCAGGAGCTGTGTGGTAGATGTACTCGCAGGTTCTGGGCACCCCGAGGCCACGTGTTCTATGTATTTTGACCAGTTGCGGTTTTTCTGTGATGGTCTTTATCTGCTGTGAACAGAAGCTCTTTGATGAGGGGTGAGAGTTCACCCATCTGCGGATACAAGGACAAGTACTTAGAATGCAGCCAGAAATGATGCTAGTCTAGTAAATAGTATGTGGAGGTTCCCCTTTAAGAACCATGATCTCACTAGCCCCAGTAGCTAGCTAAATTTCCAGTACTGGGCAGATTTTCCTCCTGTTGAATTGGTTTTAAGTTCAATTAGACAACTGTTAGTTATCAGCAAGAGATAAGTATGGTTGTGGCAACTTCAGGGCTATCTCGCCATGCTTGTCATTGTCATGGTTCCCACTCATTACAGCTGGGTAGGACTATTGATCGCTCTCCTCCCTTGGCAACTTGTATATCAATTTCCAGTTCTATGAAAGCTAGTCCTTAGGGAGGAGGCTTTCCTGTCAATTCCGACTAAAATCTTCTGAGTCCTATGTTCAAAGTCCATGGAGTCTTCAGCAATAGGGTCTTACCTTAACTTCAGGGAGACAACCGAGGGCAATAGCACTAGCTTTTGGGGAGTATCTTGGACAACCCTCATCAACAACGCTAAAGGAGGTTTCTTATGCCTGCTACTGGGGTTTTTACTAGATAATATATGGCTCTTTGGGGGAGAGTATTGTCATTTCAAATGATGTAACTTCATTTAGGATATATAATGCGTTTATCTACAATTGGTATCACATGTAATTTTAGGATTCTCTGTCTTTTTCAAGCCCCATTAGTGTAATTCATCCCTCCTCCCTCTTTTTCTGTACTGTCCTCCCTTCCATCTCCCCAACTAAAGACCTTCCTTGGTTTTTCCCATTTCCCTTTTCATATCACCTGTATCCTGCCATTCCACTCTCCAGAGCTACCCCTGTGTCCTAAATCCTGGTCCTTTATTCCTGGTTACTATAGTTACTCCAGATTATTTACTTACATCTGAAGATTAGGAGTTAGAAACCACAGATGAAAGTGAAAATGCCATGCTTGTCTTTCTGGGCCTGGGTTACCTTATTCAGTATACAATCTTTCTAGTCATTCTTGGCTACATAGCAAGTTCAAAGTCTGTAGTGATATATTATTTATTATTTATTAAAGCTTGACTGAGCATTCAGAAAAGCAAAGTCATCCTCAAGCTATAGAGATCAGGCAGTGATGTTACACACCTTTAATCCCAGCAGCCAGAAGCTAGGAGATGCTAGCACACACCTTTAATCCTAGGACTCACGATTAAGAGATAGATGGATCTCTGTGAGTCCAAAGTCACTCATCTACACAAGAGTGAATTGGTCTAAAAGAAAATTTTAGCTCAAACCTTTAATCCCAATATTAGGGAAGTATATAAGACAGAAGCAAGGTCTCAGAGAGGCATTCACTCTCCAGCCACACTGAGGCAGCAGTTTGAGACTTGGTGAAGAGCTTGTGCGTGGATCAGCCTTTTCAGCCTGAGCTAGAGGTGAGAGCTAGTGGACAGCTGCTTTGCTTCTCTGATCTTCAGCTTGAACCCCAATATCTGTCTCCTGTGTCTTTTATTAATTTGTGTTAAAGAATCCAGTCTGGCTAACATGAGATCTTGTGTCAAAAGAAAAAAAAAAAGAATTTGAGAAAGGATTTTGAAAACAATACTATTTATTATGATATGAAAAAATCATGTTGAAGTATTAGTCTAACACAGTGTATTCAAAGCAAAGTACAAGGAATGTAGTCAAGCATTACAGAGATCATCAGTGACTACTTAGAAATAATAGAAATAAATCATCACAGAGCAGATGACTCAGGATTATTACAATGTCTGAATTCTCCTTTTGATTTATAAAGTCAATACAGTTAAATCCAAATCCAAATAGCCAGTCACACTTGTCTATATGCTCATGAGCCAATATCAGTTGGCAACAACTATGTAGACACAAGGAGATCCTAGAATAGCCAAAGAAATCTTAAAGGGGAAACACTCTTAGGACTTAAGAGATTCTAAGGGGTGCTACAAAGCAGTAGTAGGTAAGGATGCTGTAAGCTGAACCCAGAATTACACATATGGACCAACGGAATAGAAGAATGAGTCCAGAAAATGACACAAACATACATGGTCACTTAATTCAAAACAAAGGAAAATTTGAGTAAGCAGAGGAATTTTTTTTTCAATGAATGGTACTCATTCTTGGAAGTGACATGAATCTCACCTTATACTATATATGGATAGTTAAATTTTGGAATAAAAGTCTCCTAGAAGAAAACAGGATATCTTCAGAATCTTGAGTAATACAAAGATTGCTTCAAAAAGAAAGATAAAAGTACTAACTGTTAAAGCATTATAGTTGGACTCCATGAAGTTAGGAAGTTGTGTTGGTCAAAGTCATCATTAGGAGAATAAAAGGCAAGATGCAGACTGCCAGAAAGTATTGAAACTCATATATTAAACTCTGTGATCATTGGGAGACTTAAAAATGATATTAAGATCAATATTTTTAAAAAGTCAAACAACTCAACAACAAAAATGCATCGAGATCTGAATATGTCTTTGGAAAGTGTTCAGTATTGTACTCACGAAGTAATAGGGACTAACAGTATAAATGAGGTTTGTCTCCAGAGCCAGGGCCTGGTGGACCTACTCACTGGGAAGCAATAACCGATAGTGACCAGTCTTTTAAAAAATAAGGCGGATAAACAAACATTTAGAATGTCTAGAAATTGTCCTAATGGTAGACAGCAGTCAAAACACTTTATTCAAGAAAATCTATGAAAGGGGAAGGACAATGAGGGAGTCTACTGCTTCCCTCAGACTCCACTCCATTACAGACAGACAGCAAGGCCAAAACGCAAGGACCTCTGGGAAGACAATCTTTCCCATTTCTCAATCCTCTAACCAGTGAGGTGCCCTCTTTCCAAGTATGTCAAGTTGACAGCCGATGCTGACGACTAATTACAGGGACTTGGGGACATTCCAGGCCCAGCAAATAGTACATGAACTCTCCCACTGTGCTCTCTAAGAATAAAACAGGGCCAGGAGAGCATTCAGGCTCCACAAGGAAGAGACGGTTTAAAACCTGCAGAAGCTAAGCAGATCGCCTGGACTAAACCACAGCTGCTCTGCTGGTGAGCCTTCCTAGGAAGTCCTTGTAGTTTTCTAACAGGGGCATGGCTGCAGTGAGGTCCTGACTTCAGGAAATCATCTATGAGGTGCAAAGAGCAAAGCTAACAAGACATGGAAAACATGCTGTGAAGCCTGTCCACAGAAAGAGTCAACTTCAGGGGAGCACTTCCTTTTCTTTCTCCCACCTTTTCGGTACCAGGCAGAGGTGCCATGTTGACTTTTAACCCAGGAGAAAACGCCCTGGAACAGTTTACAGTAG